AGGCCAGGGTCAGGTGGAGCGTTTGCACCAATTGCACCTATGGCGCCCCGCCACTGCTTACAAATGATTTCACCTTGTCTGTCAAAGTTCCCCACTGAACGATATGCCTACGCAGTTCGGTGGAGATTCTTGTTCCTCTCGGCGACGTCTTTTTGTTCTTTTTGATCCACAGAACGGTCAAAAGAAAATCAGTACGTAGACGCAGATATGGTCCTGATTAACGCAAAGAAGGCTAACACTCAGATCGTGATCGGGAAAACCATTGCGTTAAACAATAAATCTAACACCCCACAGGCAGATTGCGTTGACGGGAGACGTTACAACAACGTGTCGTTGACGTCACCAGAGTCAGGTATGGGTCAGAAAAGTAATTACTGTAAGACACCGATGAGTTATACGTCATTGGAGTTGACGTGCTATATGACTCAAAGGAAACAATGAGTCTGGCATGAAGAACAAACATGTTGCATCATGGTGAAATCAGGCGCTAGTCAAAATATTACAATCGAAGTAATTGACAAGTTTTTTTCCTCCGTGCGCAGGGCTAGTGTTATCAATGTTTCTTTTCTCCCAAAACCGTTTACGTCCATTTGAAAATACATTTTTGTGTGAATCTTACTGAAAAAAAGCCATTGACCAACCCCCTCCCCCCCTTAAAAATGCAAAATAGCAGTTTCCAAGAATACTAAAGTTTTTGAAATCATCAATCTCTTGGGGCTATTTTCTCGCAAAATTTAAATATTGCACCTGGAAATCCCCACTACCTGCACTTGCAAATATGATGACTTCGGTGCAAGATAGATGGACATTTTTTGGGATTAAAAACAAGGAAAATGAACATGCCTTAACCAGCTACCTCTGACAGCTGCATATGGCGTCAAATTATAAAAAGATTAATACTTGAAAGAAAACGAAAACACACAACCGCTCTATTGCATGCCTGCCGGTGAACTGATATTATTGTTGTTTATTTTACACTGAAATCTCGTGTGAATTCAAAACGAGTCAACATGTGACGTGTCAGGGAGGGGAAATAATTGTGATGTTAAAAAATCGTTATTTCAACATTTGTGAAATAGTTCATTCCCATTTTTACATATTATAACATCAGTCATACATTACACTACCAATAACTCCATGTACCCAACAACAAGAAACGAGTGCCTGATCTCACCACGCCGTGACTCGCATTTAAAGAATTGGTGAGTACCAGAAGGATGAAGAGTATCAGTGAAGACCATCGGCGTGTGTGATGTAGTGGTTAGGCACTTTGCCATCGCACTCAGGTGGCGTGAGTTTGATTCCTGATTTGTTGTTGTTGTTGTTGTTGTTGTTGTTGTTGTTGTTGTTGTTTTTGTTTCGAATCGAGTGTCTACGTCTGTCTGCTATGACACCCTGTCAATTTGTTTTAGTAAGGTTTTATGGCGCTCGCACCTGCATAAGGTCATATGAGCGCCAAGGTAGGACGTCAACACAGAAGTCCAAACGGGGAATCAGACTTACTCTGCTCTCTACACTATCAAGACTATCAAGGTACCCCGGAAATAGCAGTTCACAGGAGAATGACAAACCATACGAAAGAAGTGGAAAAAATGACGATAGTAAGGATGAGGAAAGAAAAAGCAGCCTTTCCGCCTATGTTGTTCTGGCACAGTTTGAGCATAACATTGATAAATCAGCCCATTTACAATTCTACTGTACACAAGAATACGTTAATGTCCCCCATTTGGGAATGGTCTAAAATCAACTTCGGTCAGTAGCACTGCCAGTGTGTGTGTGTGTGGGGGG